TCAGAAGGGCTTCACAAAGCAATCTCATAAAATCTGGATTTACTGGAGTATTAAGAAGAATATTTGGGAATTTCCTAGCAGCATCTTAGATTTAAAAATCAGAGTGCTCAAGCTGTGTTAGGATTAACATCAATCTTGTAAGGGATGTTCTGTTATTCCCTGTTTGACAGGGAAAGAAACCTAACCACAGACTTCTTTCAGTAAGCATCTGACGAAAGATCATGCAGCAAAGTGGTGGCAAATTCAGGAGAAAACGATGGATTTCCCCTACCTGCCAGCTCCACTGCTTTTGAAAGCAGACACATGCTTCATAAAGCAGCTATGGCCTTTTAGCTGTATTATGTGTCTAGGACCTCTGGACAGGCAAATTGTTATAAAAGGTGCTGTTACTGCCTTCAGTTGCAACAAATTATGGATGATACCTAGGAGACCTATTGGCGGTAGGTACCCTGTGTCCCATGTGCAGTGACTCTGATGTGTCTGGGACATGTGTGACCTCTGTGTGAACTGCACTGTTTGTTTGCACTATGTAAATCTATACATCACACATTGTACACTGTGGACAGACTGACTTCACTGTGTGCGGACCAACTCTAGGTTGCTTGGATGCAAGGAAGAATACAAATTTTCACCAACATCCAGTACAGTCAGTATTTCATAGTCACAGTGGATTCAGTGGGTACATACTGGACAGACTATACATACTTCTGCACGAGAAATCACAGAGAGGTATAGGAGCCAATCCTTTTTAAATTGCAAAGGATTATAGAATCACAGAATGGTTTGGGTTGGAAAGGACCCTAAAGCTCATCTAGCTCCAACCCCCCTGCCATGGGCAGGGACACCTTCCACGAGACCAGGTTGCTCAAGGCTCCATCCAGCCTGGCTTTTAACACTGCCAGGGATGAGGCATAAAAGGACGGTAGTTGTGTTTTCTCGGCCTTTTCTCATGCATTAAGTACCACAAAAGAAAGAAAAAAGAAAAAAGAAAAGATACTTTACCCAGTAGGAAAATATAATGAAGATGATAATGATAAGACAAGGGGTAATGGGCTCAAACTTAAACAGGGGAAGTTTAGATTGGATGTAAGGAGGAAGTTCTTTACTGTAAGGGTGGTGAGACACTGGAATGGGTTGTCCAAGGAAGTTGTGAATGCTCCATCCCTGGCAGTGTTCAAGGTCAGGCTGGATGGAGCCTTGAGCAACCTGGTCTCGTGGAAGGTGTCCCTGCCCATGGCAGGGGGGTTGGAGCTAGATGAGCTTTAGGGTCCTTTCCAACCCTAACTATTCTATGATTCTATGATTTCACCTATATAATCCAATGAACATATATAAAGTACAATGAGCATTCAATGAGAAATGTTTATTTAAACTCTTAATTCATCCAAATTGTTCTCTAGTAACAAAAAATACCTAGTCTTACTGTATGGAGAATCTATCTCTTTAGGATCCAGTTCTGCTGCTATATTGCATGTAGTACCTGACAGACCAGATCAGGCACTGGATCCATCTAGTCCAGTAATCAAATGTGCCAGTGGCCTGAAGTACCAGCAGAGACAGGGTTTGAAAAGACACAGGTCAAACGTATTGGTCTGTAGGGCCCACCACAGGTATCCCACAGTGTTCCTCCAGGTTGTGTGTTGCCTTCGTGCCTAAGGTACTGGTAACTCAGACACCAATCAGGGCCTCATTTCAAAAGAAACCTGAGTTAATTTAGTACTTTTGGACTACAGCAAGATTATCAGTAAAGGTGAAAGCACTGATAGTTAATAGATTTTCAACCAATCAAGCTTAAGTTGATTGTGATACAGAATCATAGAATAGTCAGGGTTGGAAAGGACCTTAAGATCATCTAGTTCCAACCCCCCTGCCATGGGCAGGGACACCTCACACTAAACCATGTCACCCAAGGCTCTGTCCAACCTGGCCTTGCATACTGCCAGGAATGGAACGCTCACAACTTCTTTGGGCAACCCATTCCAGTGCCTCACCGCCCTCTCAATAAAGAACTTCTTCCTTATATCAAGCCTTGCCCCTTGTCCTGTCACTACAGTCTCTGATGAAAAGTTGCTCTCTGGCATCCTTGTAGACCCCCTTCAGATATTAATGAGGTCTCCACGCAGCCTTCTCTTCTCCAGGCTGAACAGCCCCAACTTTCTCAGCCTATCTTCATACAGGAGGTGCTCCAGTCCCCTGATCATCCTCGTGGCCCTCCTCTGGACTTGTTCCAACAGTTCCATGTCCTTTTTATGTTGAGGACACCAGAACTGCACACAATACTCCAAGTGAGGTCTCACGAGAGCAGAGTAAAGTGGCAGGATCACCTCCTTCGACCTGCTGGTCACACTCCTTTTGGTGCAGCTCAGGATATGTTTGGCTTTCTAGGCTGCAAGTGTGCACTGAAAGTGGCTCATGTTCAGTTTCTCATTGACTAACACCCCTAAGTCCTTCTCCACAAGGGTGCTCTGAATCACTTCACTGCCCAACCTGTAGCTGTGCCTGGGATTGCCCTGACCCAGGTGCAGGACCGTGCACTTCATGAGGTTGGCATCAGCCCACCTCACAAGTGTGTCAAGATCCTTCTGGATGGCATCACTTTCCCCAGGTGTATAGACCAAACCACACAGCTTGGTGTCATCGGCAAACTTGCTGAGGGCACACTCAATCCCACTGTCCATGTCAGCGACGAAGATGTTGAACAAGACCGGTCCCAACACCGATCCCTGAAGGACACCACTCGTTACTGGTCAACAGCTGGACATTGAGCCATTGACCACAACTCTTTGTGTGCGGCCATCCAGACAGTTCTTTATCTACCGAATGGTCCATCCATCAAATTGATGTCTCTCCAATTTAGAGACAAGGATGTCGTGTGGGACAGTGTTGAACACTTTGCACGAGTCCAGGTAGATGACATCAACTGCTCTATCCCTGTCCATCAGTTCTGTAGCCCCATCATAGAAGGCCACCAAATTGGTCAGGCAGGATTTGCCGTTAGTGAAGCTGTGCTGGCTGTCACCTCAGCTCAGTTTTGCCTTAGCATGCTTTCCAGGAGAATCTGCTCCAAGATTTTGCCAGGCACAGAGGTGAGACTGACTGGTCTGTAATTCCCTGGGTCATCCATTTTCCCCTTCTTGAAAATGGGGGTTCTATTTCCCTTTTTCCAGTCGTCAGGAACTTCACCTGACTGCCGTGATTTTTCAAATATGATGGACAGTGGCTTAGCAACTTCATTTGCCAGCTCCTTCAGGTTTCATGGGTTTGTGCATGTTCAGGTTCCTAAGATGATCTTGAACCTGATCCTCTCCTACAGTGTGCTTAAAAGGTTTTCATTCTTGTAGTCCCTGCATATGTCTTTCATTACTTGAGCTGCACAGTCAGAGCATTTGCCAGTGAAGACTGAGGCAAAGAAGTCATTGAGAACCTCAGCCTTTTCCAAATCCAAGGTAGTCAGTTTTCCTGTTTCCTTTTGGAAAGGGCCCACACTATCCTTAGTGCTTCTTTTGCTGGCAACATACCTATAGAAGCCCTTCTTGTTATCCTTGACATCTCTGGCTAGACTGAATTCTAGCTAGGCCTTAGCTTTTCTCTTAGCTTCCCAGACAATGTCCTTATATTCCCCCCAGGCCATCTGCCGTTGCTTCCACCTTTTGTCAGCATATTTTTTCATTCTGAGTTTGCTCAACAGCTCCTTGTCCATCCAAACCTAAACTGTAGGTCATTTATTTAATACAGGCTAATAATACTAAAAATGTTCAGCTTTAGGAAAAATCATTCTCTTTTAGTCTGTTAGGAAAGAAGAACACAGTTTAAGCAGTGAGGCTTTATAAGATGAGCCATCAAGAAAATTTCCCCTACTTTTGATTCCAATCTGGGAAAAAGATTTTGTGCATTTTCTAAGGATAACCAAATAGTAATTTCAGGCTTCCTATGTTTATATGGATTTTTATTTCTGTATCATTTCTCCCCATGTATAGTTCTCTGTATGCAAAGGGTAAACTGTGATTCATGCATAGAAAGCCATCTAATTAATACAAGAAATACTTTGAACAAGATCACAGGAGTGGCAAAACTGGAACATCTTATTGGTCTGTTACATCAGACATTTGCTTCTGGGATGGCCTATATTCTTCGGGGAAAAAAACTAAACCACCAGAAAACAAACCAAACCAAAAGCAAGTTTACACATATAGGAGGGATCTTTGCAGTCTTACACAGTGAAAAAAAGTGAGCTCTGGCAGTCAGGAGCAATCATGTTTTCTGAAGCATGAGGACATAGTTCTTAGTTGTTTTTATAGTATCTGGAAAAAAACCTAGCCTGCTGAACATTTTGAGTTTGTACTTTCTGTGGAGATGCAGGTTTTGCTGGTTGGTGGTCCGTACCAAAAGTAGGTCACGCAAAAAAAACCCACAGTGTTTATGGTAGGAACCAGGATACTTCATCTGAAGCAGACTCTGAGCCAGAATCAAATGAGTGAATTCTGCATCATCTTCTCGAGAACAGGTTATTTCAGTTAAACAGCTTAAATTTTGGTACCTTGTTAGTTTGTTGGGGGTTCTTTTGAAAGGTATGAACTGGGAGAGCTGTCATTTCCAGGTGTTTCAGCTGCAGCCTTGTGATATTTGACACCTGTCTTACAACCCAGCTTCTAGATGCATTTGAATAGTCAAGAATTTCACAGGTTTTAAAATGTCAGAAAAGAGAAAGCCAGCAAGAAAGGGCAAACCCCAGCAAAGAGCACTGGCGGCCCTCCCGTGCTTTCAGAAAGCACACTGTGACACTTTTGGAGCTGGTCTCGGGGTCCATCGCAGAGGAAGCCGCCGGGCACGCAAACACGGCCGGGTTACCCCCGACGGTTCCCGGTCGTCGTATCCTCCCTCCGGCGTGCCGGAGCAGGGCTGATGGAGGGCCGGGGCCGCCCCTGGGGCGGTCCGTGTGGGGCGGTCCCTCCGCGGCCTACAAAGGGCGGTGCGCGGCGGCCCCCTTTACAAGTCGGAGGGCCTGCGCGTCGGGAAGGTGTGGTAGTTAGAGCCGCGCCGAGCGTCCCACGGCGCTCGGCCCCTCCGCGGCGGAGCGTCCCCGGCCGCCGGCGCCGCATAAGGCAAAGGCTTTCCGACTTCAGCTACAGTGCTAGCTAAGTCGGGGAAGGCAACACGGAGCGAAGCCGCGCGTCCCCCCGCCTCTTGACGGCTGAGCGGGCCAGCATGGCGCGGGGAGCGGAGCCGGCGGGCGAGCGGCGGCGCTGCGGTCAGTGCGCGGCCGGGGAGGCGGCGGCCGGGGCCGCTCGTCGGGCGGCGGTGGTGGGGCCGGCACGGGGGGCTCCGACGCAGGCGGCTGGGCGCTGAAGGCGGCGTTGGGTTCCTCCAGCGGTTCGGCGCGTGTGCCCGAATCGCCGTTAGCATTTGTTTCTTGTTTCTCGTTTCTCGTTTAGGATCTGTGGTTGCCTATTTTACTTCGGCAAAGTTTCTCCTTTACCTTGGGCATGCACTGTCCACTTGGGTAAGTAAAATACTGGCCTGGTGGAAGTAGGATTTTGTTAATCTACCAGTGGACATTATTGGTACTTTCAAAATAGATATTCATAAAATAGGGCACTACCACGGAGACAGAGTTCTTGGTACAACACCTAGCTGTTAAAGACCTTCATCATCTTTGCATCATATGATGCTGCACTAGATCCAGTTTTCAGTAGTGCAGTACTCAGGTTTCCTGAAGGCCTGGTTCTGTACCTTTTTATGGTTTTATGTAACTACAGAACCCGTGAGATTCTTTATAAAGTTCTAAGTGAAAGAGATTAAGCGTAGTCTATAGCAGAATGAAAGATGGTCCATGGCAACATGTATCTGAAGGACCTGTATGCTTACGCGCACTTACTAGTTGGAAATACAGTGTTTTGGATGGACCCATTAGCTAGTCATTAGCAAATCTGTTGAGAGTGCCAGATGTCATCTCTTTCTCTGGCAAAATGCTTGTCTTCTGGAACGCCTTCCTTCTTTACTAAAGTAACTTGCTGCACCAGTTTTTACTCACTTGAAAGATACTAACAATCTTAAAAATGTGCACTAAAAATAGATTACATGCTTCTATTCCATATAATACAATGAAGAATATTGGTATCTTGTAATACAATCTCAAGTCTCCATCCAATGTCTTGATTCAAAAGAAGTGGAAAGTTTTCTCCCTGATAAGTCCCTATTTTGTCTATAGTCCTGGATCTGGATTGGTTTAATGTGTGCTTTGTATAGCATTGAACAAATGGCTGGTACAGTTGTTACAACATTGCACTGCGAACTCTGGCAGCTCCTCACTTTCACTAACCTGAAAGGTCATATTGATGTTTCTGTTAATGGAAGGAGGCTTAGGGTGGTATCAGACTTGTTTAAACAAGTGCAATGTTTTATCTATTATTAATGGTAGCTGAGAGGTGATGTTTGTCTCGCTGCTGTTCGGAGGCCAGGTTGTTCCCTGCAGCAGTTTGTCATCCATGCCCACAGTGCCTGTACCTGGCAATTTGGCCAGCCCTGCTTACTCCTCTCTGAGCTCATGAGTAAAGCTGACAAAGCAGAGTTTGAAAACAGTGTCACACACCATAACAAACATTAGGCTGCAAGATGTCAGTTCAGCTGCTTAGCTGTATTAATAGTGTACTCCTTGTTCCAGCGTGCTTTCTTTTGTGCTGGATATCTTGACTCAAATCAACCAAACCTGCTGAAGCAACAGAAATACAACTTACTTTCACAAAACTGGGCACAGCACTGCAACTTTTATATTTCCTAAGCTGTCATGGTCCTGTAGTCTGAGTGGTTTTGCTAACAGGAGTAATAAACAAGCACCTGAATCTTCAGAACTCTAAGAAATGGATCATCTTGTTCTAAAATGGCCATATCTGCATTACAAAACCGACTATAAATATGGTTTTGCTGGAATTGAGAGCTAATTTTGTTTCTGTGCTACTAAGCCATTCCCAAATACCAAGAGCTGTAAATCATTACACATGTCACATCTCCACATGTGTTCAGACTTTAACAAAGCCTAGACTATGTCTTAGGCTCTTGTTCAGTAAAGCATTTGAATGTGTCCTTGGTCTTGATCTTAATAGGCTGGACTGTGCTGCTGAACTGCAGTCTCAGACCTGACGCTGTTGCCTGTATGTTTTTAGTTCACTGCTGTCTATCACTCGTCAGTAAGGAAAGAACAGAATGAAACTGGTTTTGCCTTGCTGGTACCAGACCTAATGATTTCCAGGAAGTGAGGTGCAACTTCCCAGCCTTATCTCTGCTGCTCCGGCCTTGGGAGGCCTGTCAGTGGGTAGTAGCTTGTGCTGCTTCACATGTTGGCCTCAGTGTACAGTGTATACATTCAGTCTGAGATGATTATAAGGGTAATTATAATGACAGAAGAGAAGGAACCATCTTTAAAAGGCTGGTAAGGCTAAACAGCTGTAGTTATTTATTTTGAAGTGTTGAAATATCCACATTTGAGACATCTTAAAGTGGGATTAAGGATATGTAATCAATGGTTTGCCGATTTCTTAAGGCAGTATTTATTATTTAAATTTCAGTAGATCCTAGCTTGAAATTACATACTGCTTCAAACCCCTGCAATTTGCTAATATTATTCTTCTGTAACACTAACTTATCTCTGCTCTCTCTTTATGTTTTGGTTTTGTTTGGTTTGTTTGCTTTTATTTTGAATTCTTGAAAGAAACTCATTCTTCCACATTGGTACAGCTTCAGTTACCTCAGAATTATCTGTGTGGATTGGCCTGTTCAAAATATTCTGGGTATGCTTATATTTGCCTTTTTTTTAATCAATCTAAATAAAAAATAAAATTACAGAAAACCCCCAGAGTTTTTCCTTGAACAGGTAAATTTATTTTTCCCACATGATTGGGTTGTAAATTTTTTTCTGCCAGTGGTTAAGGAAGCAAATATGAATGCTTACACATTACAGTGTTTGAAGAAACCTCGTTTAGACAACTTCAGTAACATTAAAAGGCAAATTCTCTTTGTTTATGCTACACTGAAGACTTTAATCAAACTTCACAATAACTTTGACCCTCCAAATAGTATGCTTTTTATGTATCTCGATTGCTGTGTTGCATGGTATGTTAGATTTGGCAGACTTTGCTTTTTAGAAGTGCTTTTATGTTACACCTCCCCCAGTCCTGTAGAATACTGGAGGTCCTACGAAATATACTGGTGCTGTATCACATAGCAATTGCTTATTTAAGGCAGCAGAAGAATGACTGGTTTATAAAAGACTAACATTAGGGACCCTTAGTAAACATACTCTGTGCCCTAGAATAGTACGAGTTGTTTCTATTAATCTGCTTTTGTTATTGATTAGATAAAGCATTTTCTGTAGGGCATTTCTTGCAGTATGTTTAAAAGCAAAATGAGATGTGACTCCCATCATGTGACAGCAGAAAAACCTTGATGTCTACATTAGGAAGATACAGGACTTTAGGTAGCAAACCTAAAAATATTGTGTATAGTATGAAAATTGCTTAAATATGTTCAGGATTTTGGGCTTCTTTTTTTATCTGTAGTAAGTGGTATCACAACATGAAAATCTTGTAGGTAAACAGCAATAGGCTAAGTAGGTTGAACTAGCAATGAGTTTGCATAGATTAAATTCTGTCTCTTGGTAGTATCCTATTAACATTATTAAAAAGAGCTTAAGCCATTGACTTCAGAAACTTTAGCTAACATTTAGGACAACACCTTTCTTGATTTACCATGGCTATCCTGAATTATAAGCAAGCTTTGGCTTGTGGTGCTCTTATGTTTTAAAGCAGCATTTTAAGTTTCGATCATCTGAGATCAAGCTGCAATCTTGAAAAGTTATATAAGTAATAACAGTAATCAATAAATCTTTTTGGTAATACTTGATCTGTGCTGAAGAATCTATGTAAGCTTTCTGGGATTTGTTGCATGTGGCTGCTAACAGACTTTGTCCTTTAATATTATAATGGAAAATAGCTGGGGTTTTTAATGTGGTGTTGCAAGTGGTTATGTTGCACTTGATTAGAACAGATGATAGTGGGATAAAAACAATGGTGGTGGGATGCAGTCATCAAAAAAAATCCAACCAAAAAACCCATCTCCCCCAACAAACACCCCCCCCCCTCCCCCCCCGCACACCAGTGGATGTGTAGCAAACCTTTATTTTCATACAGATTTTCATCAGGGCATTAATAAAATAGTCAACCCATGTGCTTGGAAAGTACAAATTGTAATGCTGTGTATGTACTCTCTGTTACTCTTAAAGGGAGATCGTATGTGGCATTTTGCTGTGTCTGTATTCCTGGTTGAACTTTATGGAAACAGCTTACTCCTGACTGCAGTCTATGGACTGGTTGTGGCGGGATCAGTTCTTCTCCTGGGAGCCATTATTGGAGACTGGGTGGACAAGAACTCCAGGCTCAAAGGTTAGATGCCCAGAGCAGGTTATCAAATTAATGGTAAAAGATAAGGCTAATAGAGTTAACTCTTCGAGTCAAATATGAGAGTGGGGCTTGCACAGGTTTCTTTTTCAGAAGGGTAGTTTTTCAGAGTGGTAATGGTTACAGAGGTAGTGTTAAGGACAGGAGCAAAACAGTTTACATCGTGCTAGGTCTGCTACTCAGGCTAAACAGAGATGCACAGAAATGCAAAAGGTGAAAAGCACAAAACTGCAAGGGCTACAGAGCAAATCCTTTACCATCTAATACTAACATACACTTGAATTACTTGTTGGTGTAGTCTGTAGTCATTTATTAATAACATGGCATCAAGTTTTTCTTACACATATTTATTTTCCAAAAGTTCATCTTATCGTTCCGTGGTACGCTGAAGAAGAATTTTAGAGCATCGAGTTTTGTTTTTACCCACTTAAAAATAGTGTCAGCATTTAAATAGGTGCAGTTTGGATTCTGATTGAGAAAATAACTACTTGGACTGGAAATTAAGAGCAATGAATTGTTCAGAGCTGTGAAGTTATGACAGATACTTGTTTCTCTAACACAGTGGAAGATTCAACATTTGAAACAAAGTACAGTTTTACCACTTATATTTTAGGGGGGAAATGGGAAAATAAAAAGTTTTAAAGAATCTGTGCATGTTACTTATAGTAAGCTCATTCTTCTGATCATAACTGTTGCTTTCTGCTTTGATTTAAAACAGTGGCCCAGACATCCCTGGTTGTACAGAATGCATCCGTCATCCTGTGTGGTATTATCCTGATGATTATCTTCTTGTTTAAGACACAGCTTTTGACTTTATACCATGGATGGCTTCTTGTGAGTGCTTGAACTTGTTAATAAGGAATTAACTTACAAATAAATTTAGGGGAGCATGGGAGACATGATTTTTTTTTTTTTTTTTTCCTCTACTCTGACAGACATTCCTGGGAGCTAAAGCTGGAAAAGGGAACTTTGAGCTGGTTGAGTAAACAGAGGTGGTGGTTTTCTTTCAGGAATTGTAAAGTAGACTTGGTCTTATTCTGTCTGAAGAATAACACTGAAATGTATGAATTCAACTGCAAAAGTGTCTTTTCTGGTTTTACAGGGTACGAGTGGAGATCTCCATCAATTTTCTCACATTTTAACTCTTTCTCCCTCATTTCTCTAGACGATGTGCTATATCCTGGTTATCACAATAGCAAATATTGCCAATTTGGCCAGCACTGCCACAGCAATCACAATTCAGAGGGACTGGATTGTTGTGATTGCAGGGGAAGACAGAAGCAAACTGGCAGGTGAAATACGTTGCCTTTTTAATGCCTTCAATGTGTTACTTTCCAAGCCTGTTTTTTGGACTGGAGTTTTACAGAGGTCAGCACATCTTTGCGTTCCCTATATTATGAGAAAACAGCAGGTAAAAAGGGCAGCATTTATTTTCCTCTTTCCTGCTTTGGATTACATTTGCTGAGATTGGAAATTACTGTTGTGACCATAATTCAGTTAGGCATCCCTAAACATGTTTTGTCCTCCTTTTAGTCCTACTGCAGCTTTGTCAGGAGAACTTTATTCTTGCCAGACAAATAAACACACACCATACTTAAATCAAATAACCAGTGTTTAATAGAAAAGCTATTTAACTTCAGGCGTTTAAAGCCAAGTGTTGCAACACTTTATTTTTAGGACTGTGGAATGAAACACAAAACTGTTGCGTAACTGGGTTCCTCACACAGGGATCAAAGAAAGAGGTACATGAGAATGAAGTCCAGAACAGTAAAGGAGACAGATCAGGAAACTGTCAGTAGGAAATGCTGTTCATGCAGATCTATTTAAAATCTTGCACTTCTGTAGCATTAGAGGTCTTAACTCAGAGCTGTGAACGCTCTTCTTCAGTTGGAGCTGAAAGCTCTGTGTTCCTCTGACATCTGATACCTTTGGTATTAGACTACAGACTTCATCTTATTTTTTGCCTAGCAAATATTTTTCCTCCTTTCCCCCCTTTCTTTTCTCTTTTTGGGAGAGAGAGTGAGTTTCCATTCAAATTTTACTGCAGCTTGACATTATGACACTGTTTGAATGAGACTGTTTCGGGTCCTCTCCAAGGAAGTGTTAAACCTGACTCACTTTTGCTGGTCCCAAGGCCATTCAAACCAAGGATGTATGATTGATCTTAGCTGTGCTGCTGCTTTGATTGTAACAGTGTATGAGAAGCAGCGTTTTTTTTGTTTGTTTGTTTGTTTGTTTTGCAATGAACTTGGGCAGGTTAGGGGTTAGGGCTCTGAATCATTCCTATAAGGGAACTTAAGCCTCCCCAGAAAGAGGAAGTGCAAACAAGGCACAGAACAGCCTAAATTGCCAAGTCATTAATAGCTCATTAAAGTAACTCTGTGACTGAAGTTTTAAGCCTGACTTAAAACTTTAAGCAGAGTTTAGATACCTCCAGGACTAGACAGCATTTCAGTTTCTGGACTCTTTAAGTTTGTTTGAAGTTGCCTAAATTGCCCAGAGTTCGGTTTATATGCCAGAGTCCTTTTAGGGGTTTGAATTCTATATTGTAGATTTATTCTTGATGTTTATCTCCAGTGAAGGAATCTTACTTGCACATCTCATCCAGGAGAGGCTAGTTTTCAATTAGATGCATGCAGTGTCTTGCTTTTGTTTCCCAGTATACACTTATTTGGCCATAGCCTTTTATTTTTGACCTTGCAGTGCCTTTCTAGGTTATTCCTTTTGTAGAGCAGTGGTGCAGGTTAACTTCTTTATGCATGTGAATCATGAGTAGAAAAGTTATCTCTCCATAAAAGCCTTAAAGTCCTAGTGGTTCTCATTAACCTTTCTTCTTGTGTCAGATCTTATTCAGCAAATTGTCTCCCCAGTCCCTGTACTACTTACTACACATGAGATAAAGTACAGACCACACCTGCATGGGAGGCAGTCCTGCCTCTGTGCTACTTCATGTCAGACAGAATTCTATGACCACTTACACTCTGTACTGAAAAATCAGGCAAAAGGTTACTCTAAATGCTCATGCAACTTAATTTAAAAACAAGAAAATCCCTTGAACCAAGCACCTGAGTTCAATTAATCTATCTAAAGGATCTTTTCCAGTCTGAATAGGGTTGTTATGTGTTTAATCGTAATGTAATTTGGAGACTGTTGAAATTTCTTAACATAAAAAACCAAACGCCAGTATTGACATGTTTGCAAATACTGTTGTACCTCTTTGCACTGTTAACTAAGGCTCCTCTTTGAGGAAAGGTAGCTTAGTGGACTAGGGAAATAAACAGTTGCCCTTCTTTTTGTCCTTGATTTAATTTTTCCATTGACTCTTACTTTGTTTCTTTCCTTTCTGGAAATATTAGCTTTCCTCAAATAACTCAGAACCCAAAGCTTAGTTCTTGAAATTTCTAAAGCCAAACGTTATGCAAGTATTTAGCTTACTCAGTTAACCATCGGTCAAATAATTAACATTGAATTAGCTTTGAATTCTAAATAGAATAATCTAAACATTTCTTTAAATGGCAAGGATTAATTCTCTGTAGATTCAGAAAAGCAGCTTCATACTTACAATTTCACTTGCCTTTCAAAATCTCCAATTTCATAATAGGATTCTAAAATGGGTTTGAGATGTACTTCTAAGCAGCCTGAAGCCATGATGTGCAGAACCACTGAGCATCTGGCAACTTCTAGGTATAGAATGATGGCACCACTAATTGGAAGCTTACAGGAGCCCAGAGGGTGTAATGCCACTCCAGTGGATAAGATTGGGGAGGGTGAGACATCCCCTACCAGCAAATGGAAGATGCATTCATGCTAAGAATGGACTGCTTGTTTTGACTGTAAACATCAAAGTGCAGAACAGAAAGGAGTGAGGACTTTGCTCACTAAGTTCTGAAAATACCTACAACTTCCATCAACCAGTGTGACTCGATAAGGAAATTTAAAGCCATTTCAAAGGTCTGCTGCTATCGTGGTGGGAACTGTGGTCACCATTTATTAAAAGTGAATGGAGGAGATTAAGAAATATATGGTCCAATATTGGGAGATAGTAGTTGCTAAAATAATCTTTATAGGAAAGAATTCTGCCATATGAGGTACCTTTTAATGTCCGGAGTTGTACATGCAGGGTTTGAATGTTACAGAAATAGGCTTAAGTGTCCATAATGTCACTAGGACGTAAGAGTAATCTTATCCCATCACTAACAGTTTTACCTGCAGTAGTATACTTCCACTGTGAATCCAGCATGCTAAACCTGGTAGACCTCACACAGGCAAAACTGGTGGGAAGAGGGTTTTGGCTTACAAACAGGTTGGTTGCAGTAAAATTAAACATTAATATACTTTAAAGGTATCTCTGGTCAGCAGTCTAACTCCTGCTGAAACCACTTACTTTTCTTGGGGTAAGACTTCTTAGTGTGATGTGTATACATGTGCAATCCTCAATTACATTTGTCAGTATTTCATTGTAAGTGTTCAGCAATTGCTTCATATCATTAACTGATTTTTGACAGATATGAATGCCACAATAAGAAGAATTGATCAGTTGACCAATATCTTGGCTCCAGTGGCAGTTGGTCAGATAATGACATTTGGCTCCCCAATGATTGGCTGTGGATTCATTTCTGGTTGGAACCTGATGTCGATGTGTGTGGAATATCTGCTGCTCTGGAAGGTTTATCAGAAAACCCCTACTCTGGCTCTCAAATCTGCAAAAGTTGAAGAATCAGAACTGAAACAGCTGAATGTAAAGAAAGGTACTGAAAGCACAGAAGTAACTGTTCAAACTCACAGTATACTCACTGAATCAGTCGATCTGAATGTAAAGAAAGGTACTGAAAGCACAAAAGTAACTGTTCAAATTCACAGTATACTCACTGAATCAGTCGATCTTAAAGCGTTGACTCTTGTCTTCTTCAGACACTGCCTTGAGGCCTGTACAGCTTTTTACTCATAGCTTGGAGTTTTCAGGCTGTGGATACAGAGACTCTTAAGTAGCAGTACATTTACAACCATTTGAGGAATTCCTTAAAATGCAGCCAAACAATGAATTCTGTCCTTTCTAAATTAATTTTTTAGTGTAAGTCTGCTCTGTTACTTAGGGCTGATTGCAAGAAATGCTTTTATCCATCTATACCATAACTAATAAACTGGACCCTTTGCTCTGCAGTGCCTGTAGCCTGTGTAGGTAGGGCTCTTTCTTGCTAACTCAGTACTAACAAGCATTCAGGAGGTTATGGAGTAGGTAGTAATATTTCTAGTCTAGCATGCTTCAGTGAGTTCCACATGCTGCAAGAGATGGTGGAGAAAAAAAATAATGTACTTGAGCCTTTCACTATGCTTCCTTGGCCAACATGAGCAACTGTGATCTGCAATTTATATGGCTATGACTGTAAGCAACCTTAAAATTGGTATTAACATTTCTTTAGATAGTTTTCATGTTGCAAATTAAAATTGCTTTAGAAGCAGACTGTTTATTATGAAGTATTGGAAACATCAGGTACTGGAATACAAAACAAGCATTTTCCCATTTTTAAGGTAGCAGTACATGAATACTGCTGAAAGCTCATGCTATGGGCTCCCAACTACAGCATGCTGTGGGCTTTATTTTTTTAAAACAAATATGAAGAATTTTTCACTTTTTTTTTTAAGAGCTAGTAAGCAATCTGTTCTTTGCCCAGTATAACCAGCAGATCCACTGTGGTAATAGCTGGTCCAGTGAACTATTGGACTAGGCTGATCTCGGCCTGGGATAGGGAAGCAAGATAAAGAGCATAGAAGGCTCTATAGATTTGAAGCTGGCTCCTGAAAAATGAAGCATTTAGCTGATGTCAGTATGTAACAAAAAGGCTGCCATTGCAGTATTTCTGATTTCACCAGAGGACTTGCATTTTTAAAAGCTGCCAAAAAGCTTCATGTCTCACTTGCTGTATGTGGAGTTTGTTTCAAACTTGACAGTGTAAAAACACTGCTCAGGCATCTGAACATTTATATCATTTTTATCTACTCTGCTAATCTAAAAACTGCTGTGGGTTTTTTTTATTATTGTTTGTCATCAGTGTGCCATTCTTCTGTATTGGAGTTAAAATGGAATTGTGGAAAAGCACGATCTGAGATTTAGGTTGTTTTTTTTTTGTTTTTTTTTTTTAAGGCAGGTTTTGAAAGCTCTTGGCTTTGGTAGGCTTCAGCAAGGATTTTTGTCTTGGTTCTTCTACCATATCATGAGATATTGACAGATGTTTACGTATTTCCTTCTCTCTGTGGTTAGTGCATCTAAACAGAAAGTTATGCTAAAATGCCAACTAACATTAGCATTCATTAAGCGAATGATTTCTTCATGGAAATAGAACATACAATGTCAAGTCTACTGAGAAGATGCAAGCCATGCTTTCTCCTACCACAATTTAATTAAATAAGTAGGAGTTTAAGTTGATAGGGATAAGCTTTACTTGATCGTACTAGACAGATGGGATTTAAGGACACTTTAAAACAGTTAAATAATCAGAGGTTGATTGCAAAATTTAACTGATGCATTTCTGCAGCAGTGAACTTCCTAAGTACAAACAATTGTCTTAGTTTGCACTCTGCACATTCCAGGCAAGAATATATCTAACAGTTACATTTCTGTTTACAGAGAGTGATGTGAAACCTGCTGAAGGAGTGCAGTTAATTGTTGAAAAAGATGTAACTGGCTTTGAGCCCCAACAGGAGAAGGAGATGAGCTGCGGTGCCCGGATTGCTGAGCCTTTCATCACATTCCGTGATGGATGGGTTGCGTACTACAACCAGCCAGTGTTTCTTGCAGGCATGGGTCTTGCCTTTCTGTATATGACTGTTCTGGGCTTTGATTGTATTACTACAGGCTATGCCTACACTCAGGGTTTGAGTGGCTCAGTGCTAAGTCTCCTGATGGGTGCCTCAGCAGTCACTGGAATCATGGGAACAGTAGCTTTCACTTGGCTTCGTCGCAAATGTGGCCTGGTTCGCACGGGCCTCATTTCTGGAGTTGCTCAATTTGCTTGCCTGGTCTTATGTGCTGTCTCTGTGTTTATGCCTGGAAGTCCTATGGATTTGACTGTCTCCCCATTTGCTGACATCAGTGCTAGGCTGTTTGAAAGTGAACCATTACCTGCTATAGCATCTCCAGAAGATAAGCCTCAAGTGGTTTTTGCAACTGAAATGTCCAACTTGTTAAATGGGTCTACTACTCCGGCTAACAGCGACCCAGAGATGAGTCCTGAGCCTGTGCCTTTGCTCTCTGTTAGTCTCCTGTTTGCAGGAGTCATTGCTGCTAGAGTTGGTAAGTATTATATTTCTATTAAAATGTGGTCTATTGACTGCTTTTAATTATAAAAGTACAGTGCCTATCAACTAAATACAGATTTGAGTTTATACCTATAGGCTACATTTGAAGCATTGTATCATATTTTTAAGGCTAACTCATTACAATTTGCATAAAAGTGAAATCAGCTTGCAATAGTATTGCCAGTGCAGAGACTGCAATACTAATTTCTTGCATATCATATGTCACTAGTAGCAGAGAAGTTACAGCATTTGGAGGTGAATGTGACTTGTTTCTTTGCTCATTTCTAGATATCTTCCTTCACTACCATATAGAACCGTTCATTAACTGGAAACAATACAAAACACATCTGCTAAGAAAACCTTCGAACTTAGGAGTTCAGTAAATTAATCCATTCATTAAATAAATTGTCTACCCTTTAAACTTTTGACCAGCAAAGAAGCTTTAGAACAAACTTTTATTTGTGTGATACTTAATTTATTGAGGCATTGCTGGTTAGTGTTGTATTAGTATCTGCCAAAAGAAGAGGCAATCAAATGCATAAATGTAATGAACAGCAATTTTCATCTGTAGAATTCTGAGGAATAAAATAATTGATTCACGTGTATTAAGTTTGTTTGCAAGATAAACTTAAAACTGAACCATTAATGGACTAAAATAGTATGGAAGACTAGGTGTAAATTATGTATTCTGCATAGTTTAAAATGTACTTGATTTTTTTTTCATTGCAAACATTTAATGCAAAACTTAGCAATTGTAGCTAGTGTGAATACACTGTAAATAGCTGTAAACCAGCTGTTTAAATAGGGAGCAGATGAACAAAACATTGTTAACTTGGTAGATTTGTTGAAGCAAGATGTTACAGACAAGTTCATATGTCAAGCTGTATGTATTATTTCAGGATATATTAGTAAAGGGTAAGTAAATTCCTTGACTGTCAGTGTGAAATCCATTCCAGGTTGACAGGAAGCTAGCCTTGTCCTGTGCATTTTTGGCAAAAGTGGAAAATTTGAAAGCATGAATTGAATTTTGCTAGCAATGAAAGTTCACCATAAGAAGTCCAGTTGTACTGATAACTGTGTTTTCTCTCCATAGGCCTTTGGTCCTTTGATTTGACTGTCACACAATTGCTCCAAGAAAATGTGGTAGAATCTGAAAGAGGCATCATAAATGGTGTCCAAAACTCCATGAATTATCTTCTTGATTTGCTGCACTTCATCATGGTCATCTTGGCCCCAAATCCTGAAGCTTTTGGCTTATTGGTGCTTATTTCTGTGTCTTTTGTTGCCATGGGCCACATAATGTACTTCAGATTTGCGCAGAAAACCTTGGGAAAACAACTTTTTTCATGCCGCACTCCTGATCCCAAAGTGTCTGACAGTTCACCAACTGGTAACACATCTACTGTCTGAGAGGATCCACTTCTCTTACTAGCTTGCTACACAAATATAGTGGTTAAACACATATACTGCTTTTTGTGACCCTAAGGTGTTTCTCTAGAGTCGAACAGCATAACTTAGCTGTTTGAGGAAGCTGTTCAAAGAGAGCTAAAAGTCATCTTACAGTGACCCTGTGAAAGTGTTTCATGTTTGGTAGAGGACAACCTAATTGGATCTTGACAGCTGGTGTTTCAAAGGATCCCTACATCTAGTACTTGATCTCAAAAGTTATGTTGACTTCCTGTTGCTGACCCCCCTACAGTGATACTTTTTAGTGGTTATACTAGCTCAATTTGTTCATGAAGTCTGAACAATTTTTGTGTCTATTGAGCAAAACAAGGTGGGTTTTTTTTAGTTGCTTCAGAATAACTTGATCTATAGTATTTGATTTTTGTGGAGTTTTTCCTCGGTTTTCCACCTTACCATGAGCAATGGTGTAAGCATCATTCTTGGATTCCTGAAGTGGACTCTTGAGTTCCGATGTTTTACCAAAATACATTTTTATTATGCTGTTTTGGTTTAACTTTACAGAAACACCTTTGTAGGTTTTTTTGCATGTTTTCGTACAAATTAGATGAGTGCTAGGTAAAAGATATTGTATTACACTTTTGTTGCACTTGATAAAGTAAAACATAGCCTCATCTTAGCAGAAGCTGTTGATGTAACATTAGAAAGCATGGCTTTTTTTAATTGCAAATGACAGGTCTGCTCAGGTTTAATGTAGCAGAAAGTGCTAAGGTACAGGAAGATAACGTCTAGGGCTAACTTAGTTTTTGCAAGCAGCTTTAGTTATTTTTGCTGTTGTTTTCAGAAACCCTACTAAAGTCTGATGTATTGGTATATTATTAGTATTCCAGGCAAAAGAAGTCAAAAAGTGGATTACTTGCGTGTACCTGTTTTACGTGTATGTGAATTTTGACTCATTTTGGTCTGAAATACCGCTAAGACAGTGAGATGTTGGACTCTGTGGCCCTCTAAAGCAATTTCGGAGCAATGAAGAGTGATATATCCCTCTGATTTTTCAGGAAGTTCTTGCATTTTTATTTTTTTTTTTACCCTGCATGTCTACTAACACAGTACTTCCATAGTCAGTAACCGTATGTGCACTTTTGTGGAAACTACACACTTTGCTCTCACAGTAGAGTTGAACCGGGTGGTGATCTGAATTTTCCTATGGCATGACAGTATGACTTCTAAACTTAAATCTTTGTAAAAATGTATGTTTGCAAAATAATTGGTATGCAAAAACATACACCAGCAACTTGTGAAGGGTGTGCTCTGCAACTCTTAAGCCATTTTGTATTTTAGGTACTGGCCTTCACAGTCATCTCTGTTGCCAGACTTCAACCCTGGAATGTGTGTGAGCTCCATTGACATTAAAGGCGTTACACCAGGGCTGAATCTAGGCCATTCATCATAAAATTTTTAATGATTACATTATGTATCAAACTAAACAGAATGTGGGTTTTCTTTTGGATACAGTAGTTTGTAAGAGGAGTGGAAGTGAATGTACAGCAAATGTACTTGTAGCCCTCAGTATTCAATAACTGGATGTAACAGTTCTCCTCTAATGGACCAAAGCTACCTGTTACCACTATGTTACTGGAAGTGTCTCAGGGATGTTTTCACTAGCTTTATGAGTGTTTATACTTTGACCACGCTTTAGGTTTTTAATAAAGTAAAATATGTAAATTAGAATAGTTGTAAACACTTGTGACTCAGTCCTGAGTGTAAGTTCTTAAGGAAAAGGGAACACAAGTAAATAAAATACCTCTGATTTGCCAAATATGTTTTCTCACATGTATCTAATTTGAACTGGGACCAGATTTTAGTATTGCTGAATATAAATAAAGGTAGCCCAAATGTCAGTGAATGCCTCCATACTGCACTTTGAATATCCGAATGCCATTGTACTTGTTAGACTCACTGGCCATCAGGGAAACAAACCTGAAAATGCAGCTTCTTGTGGGCTGTTTATAACCTACAGAACCCAGTATGCCTAAAGTTTTATGCTGTAGCAATCACTGAGCACCAGGCATCCAGAGAGAATGTATTTCTGAAGTCTGTAGAGCTCCAAAAACATAACAAATAGAGCTGGGAGCATACTGTGTTCCCATCTGTTTCCAAAGTTTGTCCTTTTTTTTTCTTTTTTCTTTTTTTTTTTTTCCCACCGAGAGCAATGTAGTCTTATTTGAGTTGTGTAGCAGTTTGTTTCATGAATAGTTCCACTAGGTAGTGCAGTCTGGATCTCAAGCCAAGAAAAGTAGTATTGGGAGGGGACTGGACCTTTGTATTTTGCACACATGATGTTGCTAGGATTCATGTACACACCTGGAAGGCAAGATAATCCTAAAAGAGAAAGAAGGTGGATGCTAGCTTTTAGAGGAATAATAAGGTCTAAATTGAAATCTTGAATCTATTGGTCTGAGTCAGATGTCAAAAAATGTTTGCTGCTTGAGCCCACCCCATTTGTGTAAATGTGATGTACACAGACACCTGTACTGATCAGTACTTCGAAACAATGTGGAGCCTGAATTCTTACTTAGCAGGACTTTCACTGAGGAAGCATTTTTGGCCTTGTATTTATTTATTTTTTTTAAATGTGTCCAATTTGGATGAAAACTGCCCTTAAAATGTACGCACTAGAAATCAATCTTACAAAATAGCGTATTTTATTATACAACCTTATGCTGGACATAGCATTGATTTATGTATTACTATTGTTAAAGCTGATGAATAAATTTACATAAAAAATGATTTGTTCTGTTTACTGAGTTTCTGGGTATCTTGCTATGCAATATTTAGCATGGATCTGGTAGATGAAGGTTTTCCATAGTGATGGGATGGAAACAGTCATGAAGCACAAATAATATTGAGGAGAAATCAAGCAACAAGTATAGTAAAGCCTTTCTGTGACCATATAGCCCTGTCTTTATTGAACTGATTTTTAATTTACCAGTCACAGATATAACTTAAGGCACAACAGCTGAAAGTGAAGTTGTGCTCTTACAACTCAGGACTACCACTGGTGATGCAGCAGTTTTGTGTATTGACTTGCTGAGCAATGGAAAGCAAATGATTTACCTTCCCAGTCATCTTTTGCCATACTGAATTGGAGATGACTGCCTTCTGTAGCAGCAACCTTTAGGTGAAAACATTAGGCATAATAATCTGGTTTTAGTCTTGAAAAGTACAACAGTTGAGTATTTTATACAACATTGCTTCTTGTTATATGTATTTAGGATGTGCTTGTGTGATAATCCATCTTTGGAAGGATGCTGTGCTCATTCACAAGGATTTTCCCTGATTCCTCTTTGAACTAGAGGTTTTCCTAGAAAAATGCCTCTATTGGTTGTGCCCAGTTACATTATTACCATGATATCCCCCTATGGGAATTGGAATTATTATTATTAATAATTACTTATTCCTGTGTGGAAATTGAAATGTGGCAAGTTGAAACGATGAGCTTTGTTGCATGTATCAGACCTTGTAGCATTAGGGTAAGTGGTATACCTCTTTAATAGGAGCTACCAAAATGTTAGTGTTAAAGACAGATAAACGTTCCGAAAATTTGAAATCAGTAATTTCCTTCACTGTCACAAAATAAGAGCAGTATTAGGGTACTGACTTGAAAATGTAGTCGCACGGATTCACCCCTGTAGGTACAAAGAAGATTTGTCAGTAGTATTGTGTAATACACTCCATGGATAAAGAACACTTTTTCTGACTGTAGAAGGCCCTTTGCCATTTACTATTCAGTGGTTTCACTGTTTTCCTGTACTCAGGTGTTCACATTATGGGAAGTTCTCAATTTTCTAGCACCCTGTGGAATTCACGGCTCAGCAACCAAAGGTAGAACAATTGAAGATACCTCTTGCTCTGATTACTTGCTTGTTGCACTAGGTCACTTACTGGGTAGTTGAGATACCAGCCCTTCCTGTGGAAGGCAATGTGTATTGCATATTACGTATTTTATGACTTTGTTCTATTTTCAAATGGAGTTTCTTAAACTGAGCACTGATGATATGGGGACTGAAAATTGAATCTTGTTAAAGGAAAAAGGATAGAGTGAACTCAGTGCCTTCAATTTAAACTATCTTCTGTTTCTCTAATGAGGAAACTGTCTCTTAGAAATTCCAAAAGGGTAAGTAAGTTCGTGTCTAGTAGTTCAAAAATGCTACAGTTGCTGTTGGTGTGTATGTCTCGCACTAGCAGAACTAGCTCATTGCCTAAGTTGTCTGTGTTCCCTCAGTGATCACTGATAAAGATCACATCTTTTCATGTCACAGTGTTATGCTTCTTTCCCACTGGACAGGGGCTTCTTTCACAGCCTCCTACACAACTAATTTAGCAAAGCATTTATTTAAACTCATAGGCTACAAAAGATCGCAATTTACAGGTAAAGCTTCATAAATCACAGAATGGTTTGGTTTAGAAGGGACCTTAAAGATCATGTAGTTGCACCCTCCCGTGCTATAGGCAGGGACACCAAAGAAAAGAAATCAAACATTCTATGATAGAAATGAAGAGGCAAATCCAGAGTAATTTAAAATAACAATTTCTATTGCTTTTTAGTATTAAAAACTAGCAGATGATTCTGCATCAATGACAAGTCATAAGCTCTTTGTAACTTTCAAACTACACAAGATTACAGGCAAACCTGAAGTAACTCAGAGTATGGATTGTTTCTGCTAGAGATGAGTGCAACTAATAGATCTAGCTTTTCTAAATGTAGCACTGTGAAGGTGATAAACATTTTTTATCTGCCTCAAGATTGACCTGTTTTCATGTCCTCAAGGAGTATTTTGTTCTGTACTCCGCATTCACGTCTTTCTCAAGTACTTAGTACTAGAGAAGCTAGAGTAAGAGTAATAGTCCCTAATGTTTTGCCCTCTCACACATTCTTTTTCCTTCTTGTGAGTACTGTTAACTGCAGGAGTAAAAATTACTGTAATTTTATTCCTGGAGTTAGACTATGTCTCTAACTTCTGGTTTAAATAACAGACTATATTTTGCAACTTTGAAGGGCAGAAAAACCTGAACAAGGATGTTTTGCTTAAATGCTTGCAAAGTGCATGGACAAAGTGCACACTGTTCAATAATGCTTTTTCAAATACTTCAGCCTATCCTTGTGTGGGTCAATATTTCTTTCTAGTTAAACTATTGCATTTGGTCACAAGAGAAGCATGCAAACATGTGCTTTCCACTCTTATTCTAGGCGTAGAGTGATGGAGCAATCTGTTTTCACACATGCAGAGTTAAGAGTTTTTAAGCCTTTGTAAATGCATGGGAAGTTACTTGACTTATGTTTAGAAAATCTGATTCTCCTCCTTTGGCAGATAAGGGAAAAAGGATGTACAGTAGACACTGCTGTTAGAACTTAAGTGGGTGTCAAAGCATAACTCAGTCAGACCAAAAGCAAACCTGCAAGTCAGCAAAACACTTGTTAAAGCTGTACAGATTGGCTCAGAAAACACACCCACTTTGTTCATAGTAACCCATTGTCCACTTTAGTCAGGGGAAAGACAGTATAGAAGATTTCTGCGTCCCAATGACAGCATACCAAGAGTCTGAAAGTAAGTTTTACCTTGAGCAGCAGAACTAACGAAGCACAGGTTCCTCTATCTGTCCCCAGTCCCTACACGCCCACAGCTGCAATAACTGTGGCTCCTTCCCCTGTCTTGTGTAATCCTAACTCTTCCATGAAGTCTCCTCACAGTGCTCCCCTCTCCCCTGTTTTATCAGCAGAGCAAAGTAGAGCATGTGCTCTGGCTAATCCTCAGGATCGATGTGTTTGCAACGGGCCCATGAGTGCTCAGGGACTGATTAGACAACTCACAGGACAAACAGCACATACGGGGTCTTGTGCTCCTGGCTTTTCCTTCAGAGAAAGGAAAGAGTTTCAAACTTATACTCAGCTGCTGATGCTAATAAAGTTCTTAAAATCAATCTTTGAGACTTTCTCTTTCATCCTGTCATAGAACCATATAACAGAATGGTTGGGGTTGGAAGGGACCTTAAGGATCATAGAACCATAGAATCAACTAGGTGAAAAAGACCTTTAATCAAGTCCTTAATCCAACCTTAATCAAAAGATCTTAATCAAGTCCAACTATAGCCCCAGGACCACCAAGACCACCACTAAATCATGCCACTAAGGACCTCATCTACACAGTTTGTGAACACTTGCACAGATGGTGATTCCACGACTGCCCTGGGCAGCATGTTCCAATGCCTGACCACCCTTTTGGTGAAAAATCTTTTCCAGATATCCAGCCTAAGCCTCCCCTGGCACAGCTTGAGGCTGTTTCCTCTTGTCCTGTCACTGATTACTAGGGAGAAGAGACCTGCTACATCCTAATCCATCTTCCTTTCAGGTATTAGTACAGAGCAATAAGGTTTCCCCTGAGCCTTTTCTTCTCCAGACTAAACAAACCCACCTGGTTCTAACCCCCTGCCATGGGCAGGGACACCTTCCACTGGAGCAGGTTGCTCCAAGCCCCTGTGTCCAACCTGGCCTTGAGCACTGCCAGGGATGGGGCAGCCACAGCTTCTCTGGGCACCCTGTGCCAGTGTCTCACCCCCACATAGGGAAGAATTCTAATGTCTAATCTAATTCTACCCTCTGTCATTACCCCTTGTCCTGTCACTGCATGCTCTTGGAAAATGTCCCTTTCCATATTTCTTGCAGC